ACCTTGATGCACGTCTTTTTTTTTTTTTCGTATCAAGTTTGAAATGGCCGACTGGCGGCCATTTTGTTAAAGAATTCAGTTCTGGATCCGTATCCAAGACATGTCTGGATTGATCAAGTTCAAACTTCACACACACATGGTACATCATGTCACAAATAGATATGTGCATTTGTTTCATGATCTGCTTAACAATAGTGGAATGATGGCCATTTTAAGGCCGAAAATGCATCAAAATCACGTATTTTCACAATTCCAGAACCGGATCTCAGTCATGCATGGATGGATTTTGTTCAGATTTAGCACAATGTGTTGTACATATGCAGGTGCATTTCGGTCATGATCTGCTTTGAATGTACATGTCACTCAAATATGAACGGAACGGGGACGTGTCATTGACAATGACTTGTTATATCAGGCACTTTCTCACTAGCAGTCCCAGACAGGTTAAGTATTAAACTGACGATAAACTTAAGCAGTTGCATTTATAATTTAATATTTGTTATAATACATCTGTCACCGCAACACCATAAGTTACAGCGTGCCATAATTTTGTGGTATTTTCACATTACCATATTATGAAATCTGAATTCCAAATATGGAATGATTATGCGCATAAGCGTCCAATAATAAAAACAATCATGGCTGCCACCAGGGTTTGACCGGACTCCACACAAAGAAGTTTGCTGATTCTGTTCTAAACATTTTGGAATTCGGCATTCCCATGGTGTATCCCCAGAAGGTAAAAGATGTATAATAATAAGGTTATTACGAGAATAGTACACTGCGCATCGACCTCCGCTGTCAGTCAATACTCAGTCTATCACTAGTTATTGATGAGTTCATGTAATTTTTTAAGTGTTCAATTATCAGCCATAGTGGCTATGACTATATATATATATACAGTGGTGCTCAGTAAAACACTTAAAGACAAAATTTACTCATTGATTTACATATTCAATTTATTACATCTAAGTGTACATTTGATTGGGAAAAAATAAATACAATCTGTCACTGTACATGTACCTTCTATAAGTTAATTGATATAATAAAAACAAAAGAATATTCAGACATGACCTATTTCACAGAGATGGGGCTGTTCACTAGATGCAGTGACAAGCAGATCAAACTCAATGAGAAGTTCAAAGGTTCAAAAGCAACATTCAGATTATACATTTATCAACATAAATGAGCTATACAAACTGACAAAGATGGCTGTCGATGGGGGGGGGGGCAAGTTTGTAGTTGTAACAATGAGACTTCTTTTTCAAATTGGAACTTGAAGTCAAAAAGTATGGAATGTAAATTAAATCGTTAGATCAATTTTAAAAAACGAATTTAGCAAAAACTTTTTTCTGACTTTTTTTTCCTTATGGAAAATAAATTTTCTTTGCAAGATGACAAGATACAAGAAAATTTGTATTTCTGGGCAATGCACCCGAACAACAATTTACAAAGATTCACGGTGCTACACAGGATAAAGAAATCTATTCCTTTCATTGCTAGAATTTTGAAGCCACATTTTACATGTTACTTATATTTAAATTGATGTCATTTAAAAGATTTTGGATTGATGCGATAAATGTTTAAAACCACTGCTTGTTCTAGGTGCGTAGCAAAGCAAAAGAGCAAATAAAAAGAGGGTACCCAGACTTGTTTTGATGGAAATAACGACTTTGGTCAAAGAAGTACATCTAAATGTTGCACAAAAATGTTGGCTGAGGTTTAGGATTGATGCGATTAATGAATCACATTTATTACATCTTGGATATTAGTAAAGTAAAGAGCCAATAAAATGAGATACCCAAACAAAAAATGACTTTCTCATTGTCTCATAAATTGAAAGTACATTAAGCAAGCCTTGTTTATGGGCAGTCACATGGAATAACTGTCAAAGTATGTAAGCTGTATTAACATGTCAAATCTTAGTAGCTTTTACTATGCTTTCTAACAATACAATACACAACACAGATTAGAAATACAGAGAAATAATTCATCACGTCCCACTTACTTTGACAAAGTAGCATGAATACAGAAGTCAAAATATGATGTAACCACAGATATTTCAGTAAAGTTCACAACATACAACTATTAAAGAAAAATTAAATACTAGTATATAATTTCTTACAGTTTTCTTTCAAAACATTACAAATACAAGGTATTCATGACAACAAGCCACATGTCAAATATTAACAGATTTATTTACTTTAATACAGTTATCTGTGATCACTAAATCATAGGACGGATACTAATTAATCTTATAAAAGTGGATGTACAGTTAAACACTTTCAAAGATCTCTGGACTTTTTAACAGATAAACAAACAAAAGTTAAAATTCAACTGCACATGCTAATTTTAGCAATTCAGAATCTCCTCTCAAATAACTTTTATATTTGTGGGAAACTGTTAACTGGTTTATTGGGCCAAGGATTTACAGTGACTTGAAGAATTTTAATTTTGTTTGCCCTTATTATTACTACATGTACATTTGTGAACATTTCACAATATTACAGTATTTGTTTACAGTTCTACATTTTAAGCGGGAGGGTCGTCACCTGCGCATGTACGGTAATTGGGTCCCAAGTTACAATAACACAAACTAAAAACGCATGTGCAGATGACAACTCCCCCG